TGTGCGCCTGGACACCAAACGGAAACAAGACCATTTTCTAATACACCGCCTAATCAACGAATAATTGAACGCAGTCAAGGCACACATCTGTGTGCCCCTACTGCATTACTGCGAGAATGACAGGAACGGACTTCGCTCGCGACCCGCGAAAATAGTCGCGACTGACATTTCGGTGCGTGGAACCAAGAGAAGACACCAGCGAACTATAGCCCCCATAAAAATGCCCCCCCCCCCTCCCCCCCGCCGGAAATGTACGGGAGAAGGCACTTGCCTGGCGGACAATGAGCTTCTTGAACCGAGATCAGGGAAGCGACAGACTATCATGTCCGCTTGTACTTGTATTCAAATACAAGTTCTCCACTTTCCCCAGAAAGATTTTTTAACATATTGTCTTGTCGTGGACGCTGGGCGAGTCCTTTTCCCAAAGCAAGAAAAGTAAGGAACCTTAGGGGGAAGACGTGAAGCATGCAAACCCAGCGGTTCACACCATTTCCGAAAGTAAATTCGTCCATTTGAAAGTGCGCAGTGCAAAACGCCCTCCCCCCCCCCCCCCCCCCTCTTTTTTTTTTTATAATACCAATTGGGCAGCAAAGTTTGGTTTGACAGGTATCGACTTCTCACGAGGAACGTTCGCAAACCTGAGACGCTCTGCGGCCGTAATCTCTGGAGGCGATCTCGAGCTCGATCGAACGAGTGCCCTACGGAATTAGGACGCAACGCTCGGGTGTCGTGCCGAATCGATCGATGGCACGGCCTGCCCACAGTTGCCCCTTTTGGCCACCAGTCGCGCTGACTAGGAGTCGTTTCTGGCGCCCTCGGGTCAGTGCCCTAGAGTTATACCGGTGGCAGGTCTCTCCACCGACAATTCGGAACTCCCAAAAAGGCTGATCAGCATTCCTTTCCGCGGTCGTTACGACGGCCATCGGTAGAAGAAATACCAAAGTAATCTACGCAAGTTACATTCACCGATTAACGCTTCTCTCAGCTACAACCATTTTCTTGCAGACGTAAATCTAGACAGCCATTGTTTGATATTTATTTTATTCTTTCCCCGCAGGCACAGCATCTTATCCGTTGTTCCCGAGACTAGTGACCAAGTAGATGTGCTGTTCCGATTCCAGAACGAAATGGCTGTAAGTATTGTACGCGGTAGAGGTTTCACAGTAATTGCGGCCCTTTCCAGCCGAGGGCCTTCGTTGGCAAGGTTTCATTTCCTACATAGCATCTGGCTTGTGCAAAGCCTGCTCTATGGGATAAATAAAAGGAACAACATTTACTTCCACCAAAAGATGTGCAGGCGTAGCCGCAGCCCTTTGATATAATATACAAACAAACGGCCCGTAATCAGAAAAATATCCATTCAACATAAAACTTTAAAAAAAGAACATCTCCGCTATTTGTGGCGTTGCAGTTTAGACGAGTGATGGGGCGCCCTCACGCCATCTCATAACGATCAACTACCACCTGTAGAACACTACGACCATTCGGTGTGAAATCCATACTTGAATATAATGTCGACTGCCTGGAATTCATTTTCGGGAATACATAGAAGAGTGCAGAAAGGGCACTCGGAGTGGAAGACGCACAAAAACAGAGCACCGACTCTGCGCTGTTTGTGTGTGCCTGTCTTCCACCTGCCCCTGCGTCTTTTTTGTGCTGCTTTATTTATTCCGGACATGCACCGACTCGCCGAACTGCACAGCTCGGAGAATGACTCTTGCGTGGATATCAAACCAGAATCAACGTGCAGAATGCCCCATAGAGGCTGGTTTACACATTTGCGTATGGGTCTGACCGACCGAGTTACAACTGCTTGTTTTTTTTTTTTTTTTTTATTTGTACATGTATTAACGTGAAACGTGATTTGGCTAGCTGCTCCGGATTTCGTGAAGCCGTGGCCTGTGACGTCACATGACTTCAGTATCCCCGCTAGATTTAGCGGAAGAATTTACGACACGTGACCTCAACACCTATTCAGTTTCACCGCTAAATTTAGCTGTGAATACGACGTCACATGTCTTTGTGTCACGTGACCTACAAAGAGATTCAGTTTCTCCGCTAGATTAAGCCGGAAAAATGACCTCGCGAGACATAAACGCCAATTTAGTTTCCGCAAATTGGCGGAAAAAATGACGTCACATCATTCCGTGTCACGTGACTCAGACACAAGTTCACTTTCTTCTAGGGCTGGGCAGTTGATCGATTAACCTTCCGATTAATCGATTAAGGCTTTAATCGCAATCAAATGTTTTAACCGGTTAATCGGTTCTTTTAATCGGTACTCAAAAGGGAGTCAAATGGACGCACGCATGGCTCTATCCTGGTTTTCTGCACCCAGCCAGGTGCTATGAGCAAGGTTCAATTCTCGCGCTCGCGAAGCGTCACGTGTTCGAGGATATACATTACAGTTCTGCCGAGGCCAGACGAACAAGCCGGGCCCGCAATTGATCCCCGCGCGACCGCGAAACTTCACGTGTTGAGGATCTATTACACATCCCGCCCAGGCGAGACAAACAAGCAGAAAAACAAGCTGGGAATCTAACAACGCCGTGGTTACTTGTTCCAGTATTCGGTCCGTAAAAATGGACGAGTTCACGAGTATGAAATGCAATCTCGCTGGGAAGTTTGTGTTTAAAGTAAACTTCAGCGGTGAAGTTTTTAACTCGAGAGCAAGTCCACTGCATCATCTGCAAAAAGCCGTTTTCCTACAGTGGAAGCGTCAGTTTGCTGCAGTATATTACCTACGAGCGAAGCACCCATGTACGCCGCTGCAGCCAGGATTATTCTCCAAAACACAATCAACACCTTCTCATCAAGGCCCCTTTCTCTGAAAAAAGAAGAAAGCACCGCCAAGCCCTGACTTCTCTTCTTCTTGTCGGAAAATGTGGACAAACTACTTTGTCTTCGGAGCTGCAGCAAAAATATGTGTGTCTTTGAATCCTTCAACTATATGTATCTTAAATTCTAAATGTCCTTTGCGCCGTGTAACAGAGTAAAATAAGTCTTCAAAGGCAAGACGCGTTGTTGCATTCTTTTTAACATATTATTTATAAAAATCAACGAAACCGACTAATCGATTAATTAATCGATTAAAGGGTAGCGATTAATCGGGTTAAAATTTTTAATCGACGCCCAGCCCTACTTTCTTCGCTAAATTTAGGGCGGAAATTGACGTCACGTGACGTCTTGTCGCGTGATGCCACAATGTTTCACATATGCAGCACAATTGTTTTGCAATTTGGCATAATTTTTTATTCGTTAATTGATTAATTTATTTTATAATTAATTATTCATTACTTTCATTCAACAATCTTTCCTTCGTCGGTTATTTATAAATAAAGAACACATTATTTCATGCAAATTTATTATATAATTGACCGTTGGAACTATTACGTTAATGTTTTATTCTCACATAATACCTTAGAGGTCGAGGCATCTATAGGCACCGACACAATGGCTTGAAAATGATCAGTTTTCCAACCCCAGTCTAGTCTTCTCTGCGGAGTGCAAATTCGCCCGCCTCTTGAACAGGGGTTGCGATAATGTCAAAACGCCAAGCTCGCGTTGGCTGATCGAAGAACAAACTGGGGGGTAGACATCGAGGAATTTACGATTGACGTCTGCCCACAATCCTTTCGATCGAAGCCATTCAGAGCTGGGCGTCGTTCTGACGTGACGGCAACTCCTGCGCAAGAAGGAGACGACCTGCTCTCCGCATATAGCCCCTGACAGTTTAAGGAACGCAGGGTGTGGTTTATTTTAGGTAACCACTTCTTGCTTCGTGATTGGTTCTTTCGCCTTCTTATTGGCAAATTCAGCAATCTGACTGGCTGCGGAGTGCCATGCCCTGCCACGCCCTGTGTCTCTGAAGCCAGGGTTGCACTGCTCATACATAATACAAGAAGACAGTCTGCAAACTTGGCACGCGGTTTGAATGCCGCGTGCCAAGTTTCTTCCTTAAACTCATTGCCATGCGGCAATCGAAGCTCGGATCTCGCGCTGAATCGCTTTCGAATCTCTATGCAGACTGCCTTTGGCACGACCTATAAGCAGTGTGATCCCGACTTTAAGCTGTCGGTGGCTACAGAAACCACCACGTCTAGGCGGGGTTTGGCGACCGTCGCAGTGCTTTATCAACTAGAAGCTCCTCGGAACTTGATATACAAGGTGGCCAAAAAATAATTTGCAGTATTTTGTACAGCTAAGCGGTTTACGGCCAGGGTTCCCTAGATTTTTCGTATGCGTCAACAAAAACTTTCTTTTCCCGCTAAATTTATCGGGAAAATTAGCGGGAAGGATAAAGAGGAGGGAAGTGCACCGGCCTATCTTCGTCGTCGTTCAAAGCGCTTGCATACTTAGTTTCCATTCCTTCCGCCAAGTGGCGGTCCCGTCGCGCGTGTCCAGTTTCCTCCAGTTCCTCGGGGCAGCGATAATCCTCGACATGTGTCTGCTTACCTTTTCTCACGATGACCGCCGGTCAAGGGAAGAAATGTATGCGTACCTTTGTTCAAAATTCTGTGTCACGTCTGCGTCGTGCGCTAAACAGCTTCGCTGGACATCCGCCTTCCCAGAGTGGAATGGCTCATGATTTTTTTTTTTCTTCTTTTTTTCGAGGCAAAGATAAACCACGCATCGCCGAACGCTCATTCTCTGCCAAAATGTAGCGTTAGTGGTCCGAAGCAGATGCGAAAGTGTCAGAAATACCCGATATATTATTCAAATGGTCTAAGTGATTTTCTGAAATCTTCATTGGGAAAAAGGCAGGCCGACTCAGCATGTAGCACATATGGAGCACTTTGACTTCAGTTACCAAAAACGGGCGAAACCTGGGCTCATTTTTGCGTTGAAAGTTTCAGAAAATCGCTCCTAGCGTTTTAGTGAGATAACGGTTAGTTGGGAAAGTTTCGCATCTGGTTCGGAGCCACTAACGCAACATTTGGGTGGAGAATGGCCATTCGGCGATGTGTACTTTATTTTCGCAGTTATAAAAAATCCTGAAAATGTGTTTATGCATTTGTTTTTTCAATCGCGTAAGGCCATATAAGGTTCTGAACGCCATCTAATTTATTTATTATGTCGTCGAACTGCAGATCGACTTCTGGACTGAAGCGGGAGTACCCGGATCTAGGGCCGTCGTCAGAGTAGCACCTGAACAACTTTCCATGTTCACTAAGAAAATATCTGACGCGGGAATGACCGCCAAGACTGACGTCCAGAACGTCCAGGAGTAAGCTTCTGATTATATGTTTATAAGTTTAATTAACCGCATAAAAACCGCGGGGCGCGGTTTCTGGTGTTCACACTGCTTGTTTTCTAAGTGGTTCTCTTGTACTTTGATGAGCTAATTATCGCAATCCTATGCAGAGTGCAAGTTGCTCCGCTTATTTTGCAGGGATTGTGGTAACGTCGGAGCTCCGAGCTCTGATTGAAGGATAGGGAGTAAACCTGAACGCAGCCTCGTTTAAGGCCAACCGACTATCCTTTGTACGCCAAAAACTGAGACAGAGTAAAGAAGACAACAGAAGGTGACTTGTGTTCTCGCCTTTTTTACCTCTCCCAGTTTTTTGCGCTTTTCTTTCCGACTATGAAACAACTAGCTTAACTCACCCTTTTGTTTCGACTCTTTTGCAATCAGAACCAATCAGAGCTCGGCGTTTTTACGGCACCACAACCCCCTGCAAATGAAGCAGACGAAGCGTTGCCGGAAGTAGAGGACATGGTCGGTGGGAAAGCGCCCAAGGTTGCCCAAAACAGCTGTTGGCTCCCAATCAGCTCTCAGTTTTGTCCAATAGCGTTTTTTTTTTTGGTTTTGGTCATTGTTAGGGAAGACTCCCTCCAAACCGGAAGTCTCCTCTGGCTTCACCTGTGGTGTCGTCATGTTGCTTTTCGAAGCTCCCTACCTCCATGCTCTGAAGCGTAGCTGATTTTGTGACGCGAGTTGACACTAACGCCACTCTCTGACGTCACGCCACTCCGGTGACGCTGCTTTCGACACTGCGCATGCGCAGACACTCTATTTCACGAGGATTTAGTTTCTGTACATGTGCCAACACCTGGCGTGGGTAAAGGCGCCTTAGTTTGTAAACAGCGTGATGCTACGGCCCGATATGTTGCTAACACCAAACTTTCGCAGTGTACGGGTTGAACCGAACCATCGAATCGCAATATGTTGCGCGTTTTTTGCAGGCTCATCGACGAGGAAAAAGACGGGGTTCAATCCACCACCTACTCGAGCACTCCACTCAGATTCCGGCGCTACCTGACGAACGCGGAGGTAGTGCAGCGTTTACTTTTCTCGGTTTAAACGAGGGACTGAGTAACGATGGGACTTTTGTCGCGAGACTAAGGGCACCTAGTGACTTGTGGGGAGTGACTTTTTAGCGAAGGCTTTTAATGTAAACTTAATATTAAAGATGTAAAATGACCAGTGTTTGACGTAAATGCAGACCCGAAAATGGATACATCCAAGCAGTTTTTCTACAAGCAAATATCTAGATCGTTTTTTTTTTTTTTTTTTAAATAAGAAATACGAAACACTATTCGCAACTCTAGACCACTGCTCGCCCTCTCGCGGATGAACGAACAACCAGAGGAGCGGATATGGCGGCGGAGACGGGGGCAGGCAGTGCCGGCCTTGATGCATGCTCTTACCGCGTGCTTCTCGTCGGCGTGTTCCTGCATCCTTCACTTTTGCCGGAAAAAGTCAGTGCGATAAAATAATAATTGTCGCGTTACGCTACGCAACTTTTAAAAATCAACATGCTAAATTTTTAACACCCGTCTACACCTCCGTGACCTGTGATGTGCTCCTTCCCTGACAGCACTCTGTTTGTAGGCAAATAAATTAATTTTAGCACAGTGACCAGCGTCAGCGCGTAGGCGCACGTGAAAACCTGTAAAATCTATCCCCGTTTATTTCGCCTTTTAGGAACTAACGCCCCGCCATTCATAAGGTGTGTGAGTTGCGAATAACCATCTTTTACTATAAACTACAATTCTAAAGCCTTAACTATAGCACTAATGGGATAACGGGTTCTGCAGGGTAGTGCGAAGTATGGTTGGAGAGGTCATCGATATTCTGTTGGACACTCATGCATCACTTTTTTTACCCAATCGCTTTAATTCAACGAAGGAGCCAAACAAGGTATTAGTCGCCAATTAAAGAGCCATTTCATTTTCCCCATAGTTCGAAAGCGCTCTGAAATCCTACGGCGTGGAATACGATCACGTGCAGTACTCCCCCATCGGCAAGTCCTACGAGGGACGAGACATTATCGGAGTCCACGTGAGTATGTACATGTTACGCGCAAATGTTTTTCCGTTGCGAAAAGTGTCGAGAACCTCCTCTCCACAGGCCGGTTTGTCATCTCCATGAAAGTCCCCCCGTTCCCTTCTCGACACACGAGGCCATTTTTGAGCGTGGCCCTGCAGCAACTCATAAAAAAAAAAAAGCGTCGTGGACAAAGGAAACGCGTGTCGCGCGGATTGGTCACGAGCGCTGTCTCACCGTTCGGCGGATGCTCGACTTAAATATAGCTTTTCCAAAAAAATCTGCTGCGCATGCGCGAAACGGTACTATCGCTCCCCATCGAAGCTGAGATCAACCAAGCGTGCGGTCGTTCTTTGGCCTACATTGTACTAGGCTACTGGAGAAACAAACTAAGCCTTCTGGGTCGCCTCGTTTCTCATAATGCCAGCGAACTGCATTGACAAAGGCTACAACAATTAATTTTACAGGATAAAGAACGCCATATATTTGGAGCTTAAGTCGACACCCAGCCGACGCTGCGAGGTAATGGAAAAAATTCTGCAGCGTCAAAAGCGCAAGTTACGGGGCTTTTTTTTATTGTGATTGACTCGGCAATGATAGAGCACATAGAGAAACATGACGAACACCACGACGCCGCGCTTTTGACGCTGTTTGATTGGTCACATCAGCTCGCAACGTCGGCTGCGGCTGCACTAAGGTGAAACTAGGTATTGTACTTTAGATTTCGGTCGGCCAAGCTGTGTGCCCTAAAGAGAAGAGCTTGGATAGCCGCTATGAAGAAAAGGCAGCCAGATTGCTCACCATGGCACCCAAACGAGCGCTGCCTCACCCGCAGCGTACATTAATCCATGGGTACGTCAATCTTGTAAGCTTCTGACGACACTCTGAAACAAAAACTGGTCTATCCGTTACGCCCCTAGTCACTTGTAGACGCTTTACACACGCGCCAGATTACAGCCACCATTGCTGGCCTTCTTTTGTCTTATGGAGATACCGAGCCACTGAAACGGGTGTTGACGAGCCTCCAGAAAGGCCAATGCTGGGTAGAAGGGCGAAATAGAATTTAAGATGGCCATAACCTGGCCTTCTATGGTAATAATGAAGTGAAGAAAATTCAATAAGATGAAACAAAAACTGAAGGTCAGTTATGGCGGCGCCCATGCACAGCCTCTGCAAAGCGTCTGTATACGACACCCCAAAACTTCAGTTCAACGTGCAGCAAACTGACGTCTTACTGAAGGCCTCAACATTTACGAGAGGTTTGATGCCAGTGGGATATAACATATTAAACAGCTAAAGTACGTATCAAAGACTACAGGAAACAAACAAAAAACAAAAAAACACTGAGGTTTTGCAGTAGGGCCAAGAAAACCCAGATTACTTTTTGACAGTCAGTCACATGTACATTAGCTGTTTCATTAAGCTATACAAGTCGGCTATCAAGCCGCTCAAGAAAATGGGTACCGTCGGTTCAACGTTAGTGCTCTGTACGTCCAACTGAGGTTTTGGGGTTTCTTATATATGACAAGGAGGCGTAAGAATATACCCTTTTGTTTTCTCTGTGGAGTTTTCCATGCTAAGCCCCGCTTTCCATCCCGCTTCCAGCTCCAATTAAACAATTCCAAAGTGTTTGTTTGGCGGTACACGAGAGTGGCGTGTTGCAGCTCGCATATCGCCAATTAAAGACAACGCGGGTTTATGTCGAACGTCGACACAGCACTCGTCTCTTCGTCCTCCCGAAGCGCTCGAAAATGGCGTCGTGTGCCGGGAGGGGACAGAAAAATATTCGAGGGTGAGGATGTTTGGCGATTTGACTACGAGGAAAGTTGAGTACGATGCTTCTTTACTTTCAGTATTGAGGATTTTCATTCACCGCCATTTGCGAATGTGTGCCCGCGTTCTACTCTTTCCTAAAAAAGAAGCCACGTGAGAGGTCGTGCTGATCCCGTCTTACGGTCTTCATTCCTTTCGCCTCGCCAGATCACCAAAGGGACGAACAGGCCCATCATATTCTTCGAGTGCGGCATTCACGCGAGAGAGTGGGTGGCCCACGCCACCTGTCTCTACATCATTGATCAGGTAAGCTTTCATGCATCATAAAAACAAAACACAAAAAAAACGTTGTTCGCTGTAGACGCGCTAACAGCATTATCTCCGGAAGCAGACGCCGCAAGCATTTTTCGAAGCATACGTGCGGATAGTTTTTAAAACGTATAACGTGAATCTCAAAGTATGGATAAACGTTTGAGATGCTAGAAAGTTTCACATATGGAACACAACTGCCTAGCAATTTACCGTACATTTTCTATGGCCAATGTGTACCGTGATGCAAGGATGACACACGACTCAGACAGTGTATGCAGACCGTGTTTTGCACGATGGATTTGAGGTGTGATACCTGCTTTAAGGCTGGTTGGAACATTTGCGTTCGACACCGGCGCCATCTATCCGTGGAACACTTGCTCTCAGCGTATAACTATACTGAAGTTTTTGCAATATTTGTGGCATCAAAATGACGCACTGTACTATAGGCCTGTCGCTCTCAAGTTTCGAGCAGCGGCCCTGGCGAGCGAAACCAGGTAGTTTTAGGTCACGCTACGGTTTGCTTTCCCGCGGTTGCCCAAGTTAATATAAACCTAAAAAAAGATCTATGTGAATTATACGGCGTTTTTATGGGAATCTGAAGGTCTCTCTTGCTCAATTCCCATGGTGATTTTAATTGTCCTTAGTTCTTCGATGCTCTTTGTTAGCGCACGGGGACAGACGCTGACAGACATCCATGGTGAGACGCCAAGATGCTGTTGTATGTCGGAATTAAATGTCCGCGTCTTGCACGAGTTGTAAGGATTATGCGTAAAATGTACACGGGTCAGAAGTTGGTCAGGGCTACCTGATAGATGGCGCTAGTGTGCGTTTTCTCGTCGTAAGCATTCACAAGCGATTGCGATGCAGCACATCGCACTGAAAGGCAAAACTTTGAACCAGTTTTAAAGCCGGGGTCACGCTACCTATTCGTCATAGAAAAGACAGTCTGCATACGGATTCGGACGCGAGTCACCCCGAGATCCGTGCTTGGAATGCCGCGTGGCAATGACTTGAAGGAGAAACTTCACACGCGGCATTCGAACTATGAATGTTGCGGTGGGTCATGTTTTCAGACTCTTTCGTGCGATGCATGAGCAGCGTGACCCCGGTTTAAGGCATGTCCGAGAAGAGACAGATGCCACGATTCCGGGGTATCCCTGAATTTGAAACATTGACCAAAACAAGCAGATGGTGTGCCCTATCCCCGTCCCTCCGCAGAACTCATTTGGCTTTGGGTGAGTTCGTGGAGTCGTCGAACGCATGGACAGTTTCACAACTGACTGCGTGGACGTGGAGAGAAGCGTTAACGCTATAGACCATACCAGCGGTTATCGCCCAGGCGAAAAATGCTGAGTGACTGGGCTGTCGACACCTGCAGTGTCTCATATTTCGCGCAAGGTAGCTACTGCGCACGCTCAGAACGCCTTCCACAGCCCAGTCGACAAAGATGGCAGCGCACAAAAGGCGATTATTAAAATTCCTCATACACGCCCTTTAAAAAAAAAAAGGTAAAAAACGGGCATTGGTATACGAAGCAGATTAAAGGTTGTGTATACATATGCGAACGATATAAAAAAAAGCCTAGGCGAGAACGTGCCTCCGAAAACCACCAGTCCTATCTAAAGAAAAAAAAACTGAGTTATCATGGAGGCTATACGGTGTGCAAGTCTGTCTGCTTGTTGCGCACCTCCTGCGTCTGTATACCCCGAATGCCGCCATCTTACATTTGTTTCCTCCAGCCTTACCGAATGATGGATTGAGTATGGCTGTGCCATACTATTACACTTCTATTATTAGACATAGATATGGTGCGCCGTTGTGAACGAAGTGCGCGCTGTTTCAGAGATATAGCTCAAATTGCAATCAGAATTGCAGTTGCTACGTAGTAGTAATCCAAAAGGGGCCATATGCTATAAAAAGATACATGATCCTACAACCACATACCGACGTTGAAAATAAAAAAAAAGAAAGTGAAATGAAACTTTTAAAGCGACAAAAAAAATATAATAACGGCCCGAGACTTTGTTTTTGAGCGCACGAGCATTAGCCGTGGCCCAGATTAATGTATGCCACGGCTAATGCACCGGTGGTTGTAAACTGGCATTGGTAAATTTCTTTCTGTTGGAAACAAACAATTCAGTTGGATAGTCTTCTTAAAAACGACAGTAAAAACAAACAGCCACAACAACAGAATTTCCCGCTTTTTTGAAGTTATTACGAGGTCATACCAGCGTATTTCCGCTATTTCTTTTTTTCTTTTTTTATTGATGGTCGATTTGGGATTACTGCCACGCAGCAGCGGCCATATTATTTGCTTGGGAGAAGAGGAAAATAAAGTTTGACGTACTTTTTTTTAAATTCAAACGTGCCCGCCATCTAGTAGATGCTGCGTCAATTATCCGAGTCGGAAAATGTTTGTGGCGAATACTCTGGCCTGCATTGTACACGAGGACTCCGTCAGCGTTCGGTTCGGACTCGGATCCGATCGCAAGCTTTGTGCCTTAGATGGACGGATGAATATTGGCTGTGCCCTTTGTAACGGGCGGTAACTTGCGCCACCTAGCCAGAGAAAATGCATTCCCCCCCCCCCCCCCTTAAATACCCAATTTCTTTCCCTCTACATCCCTGCAACTATCACCGGGCCGGGGCAGTAAACCAACAGGCTGATCTTTGGGGGATCGGGCAAATACAAAATAAAAATAGTAAAGGGAAACGCACCCTCGCCTTTTCCCCCCGGCGAAGTAGTAGTCGCCAATTTTCCTCAACCCAAGAAATGACAACCGTCATCGTTGCTCGATGAGATCTTGAAAAGGATATATTGAGGAAGGGCAACTAAAACCTTCAGGCCTGACTTCACAGACTGCCTCCATACGCGGCTGCACATACACTTGCTACGCCAAAAAGCTTTGGCGTAGCATGCGCCCGCGCAGGGGCTATGGGAGAGTACATTAAAAAAAAATTCTGCGAATTTATTTTACCGCAGGACACAAAACAAATTTGGTCATAGCGAAAGAGAGATGGACCCCAGCGTATGACAAAATTCAAAGCAAAATTACACAAAAAAATATTCATGCGCAAGTGAAGCGTCATACTCACTGTCCCTGTCCACATCACATTTTATTGTCTAATCATATACTTAGTCTTGTAATATGCTGGAATCTTTTTTTTTATTTTTTGCCCTGCGATTGGTTGTTTTTGCGTTCTTCAAGAACGTAAAATCAGAGACCTTTTGTAAAGTGTATTTCCTGCGGCGAGCGCTACGATCATTGCAACCTTAAGAAAAAGAGGGCGTGGTTTGTTAAATTAGTTCTTCGTGCTTTGTGACTTGTTCTTTGGCGTTCACATCGGCCGACGCCGCATTCCTATTGGCTGCTGGGGGATAATAAGATGCTCAGGGTTTTCCATGCGCTGGCTTTCACGAGATGCCGGCTCCGAGTTAAAGCGCTGGCATATGGATGACCAGGGGGGCTATGTTGCACGTTTTGGACTCCCAGGAGACTAGGGAGAAGGAAGTGACGTCAACGATACAGCAAACGCAGATTGGATGTTGACAGAAGAAAACCAAATCAACGTCCAATCGGCATTTGCTGCGTTGTTGACGTCACTTCCTTATCCCTAGTCTCCTGGGAGACCAAAAAAGCGCAACATAGCACCCCAGTTCGCGTGTTCGAACGCCGGTGGAGGCGTCCCAATTTTGACCGGGGCTTCTGTAGACAAGGTGCCGGGTCACCCATGGTTCCGCGTAAAAATATCTCCCGTGATGAAAATTATTCGCGAGTTCTTATTGATGGGGCATGTCAGGAGTGACATCCAATAATTTGGAACGTGAAACTCCCGAATTTGGCCTTTTTTACAGTCTCTGATACCCCGTAGATCGGAGTGATTAACCCACCGAATGCTCAGCAAAAAAGTAAACGCTCAGGTACTTCTACAGTACAGATGGCCCAGTTTTGTTTCTTTTTTTTTTTAGGTTTTACTGGTTTGTGTAAAGCATAAAATGAGGTCGTTCCCGTAGATGTCGGCAGGGGAATTACCACAACGTAGAAACATTTAATACATTTAAAAACCTATTTCTAATGCGCTTAAAGAAATTACGCTTTCTCGCTGATCGTTGCCAAAAGGAATGTAACGCTATAAAATTTGGAATTTCTTGCTGCTCAGTTAAGGCATGTTCACACATTTTGGCTTTAGTGTTGGGCCGTACACGATACCGAATACATTTTTTGAAACGATACGTAGAATGGGTGTCAAAAGGTTTATAGGTTCTCTTCAGTATTTCTCTTGAGCACGCCGTTTTACCAGATGAATGGAGAAGATCAAAAATTGTTCCGATACATAAGCACGCGGATTGGAATACAGCGTCAAAATTCACGCCCATTTCTTTAACTAGTACAACATATTATTAGAGCACATAATCTTTGCGCATATTTTATGTCACTTAGACAAACATAACCTCATTTATAGAAATCAGCACGGTTTTAGAGAGTCACTGTCGACCACAGCCCAGCACATTGAATTTACACATGACTCAGCTGAAACAATTAATGAATGGGTGCACTTTCACGTAATGTACTTAGACTTTTCTAAAGCGTTTGACAGCGTGTGTCATTCAAAATTGCTTTAAAAAATATCCAACATTCTCAAAAACTCACACATTTCAAATGGCATAACTTCTTATTTAACAGTCAGAAGCCAATACGTTCCCTGTAATAAAATTTACTCTGACACAATATCTGTTATTTCGGGAGTACTCCAGGGCTCCGTACTTTGGCCAGATTTGTTTTTGGTTTTAATTAACGACATATCATTTAACATAAATGTCCCACTAAGCAGTTTTGCAGAGGATTGTATTATATATAACAAAATAATGAAACAAAACAACAACCTTAAGTTTCAGGAAGCCTTGGGGGCCATATTGAATTGATCTTAAAAGTGGCAAATGAAGCTAAGTTTTGATAAGATAGCCATCGTTACAGTCTCATGTAAAACAGAGCCGATCTAATTTAATGACCTACTTGAAAGACAACCTCTTAGACGAGTCCAGGAATACATATATTTAATATTTGTTTTACGAGTAAACTCAACTGGACCCAGCACTTGGAAGCGACTGTTAATAAAGCGAGAAGCACTCCGTTTGCGTTGCGAAGGACACTAAAATTTGTTGATTCAGATAACAAACCTATTGCCTATAAAAGATACGTTAAACCTGTGTGAAAATACACCAACTCATTGTGGCAGCCTTACACACAAAATAGTACTCTCAGGCTTCAATTTATTCAGAAACTGCCTGCTAGGTTTATTTTTATTAATTTTCGTACAGGAACCTCATCTGCAGAACTGCTTCTCAGGGCGCAGCTTCAGCCGTTGCAAACAGGAGCAAAAATCTGTAGATTAAGAGTATTCTATAATACTCCTAACGGCACTATTCAAATCGAACGCCCTAGGTACTTAGAATCACTATTGACAGGGTCCTGAGGCCTAAACCATACTGGAGCGTTAAAAGAATACAGGCTTAAGCTTAATTACTGTTTCAACTGTTTTTTCTTTCCTCGGACAATTCAAGAATAGAATGAGCTAGAAAACGATATTGTAATAACTTTTATTACTGCTATGGAAATTTTACCTACCTGAGTTTTTATTTTTACTGTTTCTATTTTTTACTGTACCTCCTGTCGTATGGTGTACCCACTCCTACTAAGGCTGGTCGAGTGGAGCCAGTAGCATTCACAAATAAATACTTTAAAAATGACCGCATCTCCACGTGGTGAATGATGTTAATTGGGGCGAAGCTTTGATATTTCTGATGATACTGATTTTATTGCTCATGGGTAGTGCTGACGGTGCTGATTTTTTTCTATTGCTCATAGGTAGTGCTGAGATCCGGGCTGCGTTTCGACTTCATTATTTCTGCTTTATGGTCGGTGAAATGCAGAGCTAGTGGTTCTTCTAGCGGATCAGCTTGGATCCGCTAGAAGCCGTCGGAACGCATCTCCACCGCTTAAGTCAACGGTCCATGTCAGAAAGAGAATGTGTGGTATGAATCGTGGTTATATACGCATTTGAGCATTTGACAGCAAAGCCCTCTCGTCTATAAACGTTCAGCCAATGCATGCAAAGTTTAACGCGATTAAATACGCATTTGACCGCAGCGCCGTCTCCTGTATAGACGTTGAGCGGCTACATGCAACGTTTCATCCATGATAGAAACCCCAGCTTTTGAGTTACTACCACATCTCAGGGCCCCCCACTCGTCCCGCAGTCGTGGCCGCCCGCAGTCGTGGCCAAGTGGTATAGGTGATGGACTAGAAATCCATTGCGGTCTCCCCACACATGTTCGAATCCTGTCGACTGCGCAAACATTTTTTTCTTTTTATGTGAGCACGGACGCCGGACGGACGGACGGACGGACAAGGCTAGACCCTAAGGAGCTTCGCCCCTAATACAAAAATACTCAAATACAGTACCAGTGACACTTTATAGTTGGCGCCGCCAGTACGTTCGCTCGTCGTGAGCAATCAAAAGTAGTCGGTTGTGAGCCAACGCTTGTGTGAACCAGCCTTGCAATACTGTTGAAAATTGGGCTAGTTTGTGAAGCATGTTTACGGGTAAAACAGCGCGAACAAGACACAGGATAGAGAAGATGCACACAGACTGAGCGCTGATTGTCAACAGTTTATTTTGAAAGAAACGCCGAACGGCGAGGTCACACCAAACAAAAATTATATCACGACACATGACCGTTTACATGATCGTCACAAGTTAAATCCCCTCGAAAATGCCAACTCACAATCATAAAGATCCATCAATGGCGTGCTGACACAGTTCTTTTTAACTTGAAAATGTAAAAGGCCTCAGTTATCTCTCTAGTTCGTTGGTGACTGTGTCTTCCCAGGACCGTGGTATCTTTTAAAACCGGAGAGCAACCACATCTGTCGCAGTGAACCGCCAGATTCCCTGACGGACATGCCGTAATCGAACACGCGTGTTCACGTAATCTATCATTAATGCAGCGACCTGTCTGGCCGATGTAAACTTTCTACAAGTCAGGAGAATACTGTAAACCAACCCCCCCCCCCCCCTCCCCCTGAGGGACATACGTTTTTTACAGCGAGGCCGTGTACCTTCACCTGCCAAGAAAATGTGAGTGTCGTTGGCGTTGAAAGCAAAAAACTCCCGGCGAACAATTGAAGGCAAAACAACCTATCTCCTTTGAAATAAGGCATGCAGCATACAGCTCAGTAGCTGTTTCAGTAAATAAAACCACAAAGAAAACCACAAAACAAGCATCAAAACTACATGAGGGATGATAAGGCGCGTGCGAGCAGTAGGAACACCCTCCCTCGCGTTGTGGTAAAGGTTAAGTTTGCAGCTGCTTCCAAAGGGCTTGACGCCATTCGAAGCCCTCGTGTAAAGTGCAAACCGCATATAAATGATAACGGCGCCTGCGAACAACGCGAAACACCTTAATTCTCCCCGCGTGTGTTTTCGGGTCGGCGTTCTCACGGAACAAAAAAACTTCAGAAGGTTGAAGCAAAAAGTACAAACACCACGCATACAACATACATCACAACATTCGTTCCAATAAAGAATAAGCACAAGACAAGCATCCTAACCATATAATGAATGATAAGGAGCTCCTAAAAACAATGCGAAGCACGTAGCGCTCACCGCACACGTTCCCGGTGAAGATTACTGTTGGCCGAGCTGCCGCGGCAACGGCAGCTTGCGACGTGGGGAGTGACGTCACTAGCCTTTCATATATAAATAAAGAACCCGCCTGGGTACCCCGTTTCACCTTACGTACGGGCGCAGCGGATGCTACGAGCTATCTTAGCCAATCCCATTATGTACACGTGGCCAGTGATACGCTTTCCGCGCGTCGCTGTGCCCCCTCTATAAGGTCACGTGACACTCACACGGCCTCCGATTGGCTCCGATGGCTCGTAACATCCGCTGCGCATATACTTAAGATGAAACGGAGTATAGCAACTGATTTCATTGTTGCTGCTGCACAGCGATGAATAGTCCACGCATAGTTAGGACTCCCGAGGAGCAGCGTGAATACTATAGGAGCGTCAAAGGGAAAAGTAACGGCAATACGAACCGCGGCGGCGTGCAACGACCCGCGGCGGCATTTCGTATAGTGCAGTAGGCAGTCGTTGCAGGCGACAGCTTCGCTGACCGCCCATCTTTACAGCGAGGATTGGAGCTCCAATTTTTTTGCGCTGCTAATCACATGCGGCACTGAGAACCGATTCCCTCTCCACCCTCGCACACAAACGTCCAGCTTGGCCGGTGCTGAGAAAACGATAAGAACATCGTGGCGTTGCGCTACTTTCTTTAACGTACGCGCCACCTTATGGATATAGGGCACCACCACCCGGTTTCTGCGTAGACTTCCTACCCATAACTAACTCCGGATTTCTCACCCTCCTCAAGAGGCACTCGGCTCTTGAGGAGGAGTCTTTGGGCGTGCCAGGCTAACAGTTTCTTAGCCTGGCACGCCCAGAGACTGCTATCTAGTAATCTTTGGGGGTCGCTCGTCAGGTCATGTCCTCACCAAATAACGATGAGTTTTCGTGGCCAGGCTAACCAACTTCTGGAGAATGGCTCTCCTGACAACCTCCTGGTAGGTGTGGCCGAGTGCCTCTTGAGGAGGGTGAGAAATCCGGAGGTAGTTCTGGATAGGAAGTCCACGCAGAAACCGGGTGGTGGTGCCTTATATCGATAAGGTGGCGCACAGGTTAAAGAAAGTAGCGCAACGCCACGATGTTCCTCTCGTTTTCTCAGCACCGGCCAAGCTGGGACGTTTTTGTGCGAGGGTGGAGAGGGGATCGGTTGTCAGGGCCGCACGTGATAAGAAGCATAAAAACAAGTTTGTCCCTTGCGTGTGTGTGTGTGTGTGTGGGGGGGGGGGGGGGGGTCTACAGTATTCCCCTGACTTGTAAATAAGTTTGCATCGGCCAGACCGGTCGCTGCATTATTGATAGATTGCGTGAACAGGCGTGTTCGATGAGGGCATCTCCGTCAGGGAATCTGGCGGTTCACTGCGTCAGTTGTGGTTGCTCTCCGGCTTTGGAAGATACCACGGTCCCGGGAAGACACACTCACCAACGAACTAGAAAGATAACTGAGTTTTTTTTTTTAACATTTTCTAGTTGAAAGACAACTGTGTCAGCGCGCCTTCGATAGATCTTTATGATTGTGAGCTGGCATTTTTCGAGGCTTTAACTTGTGACGATCATCCGACGGTCACGTGTCGTGATGTTATTTTTGTTTGTTGTGAAGACACCGTTGGGACGTTTCTTTCAAAATAAACAGTTGACAGTCAGCGCTCCGTCTGCGTGCATCTTCTCTATTTTGCGTCTTATTCGAGCTGCTTTAGCCGTAAACGAACCAGCCTTCAATAGTCCGTTTGTCTGTCAGATATTATGATTCGTGCATTGTTTGTTTATAGGTAGTTTATTCAACTTTGATGAAGGTCATGGGGTCGTCCTGCGCACTAGTTTTCGTGGACTGGGAAGATCTCACCCGACACTGCGTCACGTGACGTCACAATATGATGTCACAGTTTCATGTGACGTCACATCTGGTGAAGTCGCAACGCCAGATGACGCCAAAGTGTCACGTGGCGTCATGTAAGACTGCACCAATGGTACACACATTCATATTTCCCGTTAAATTTAGCGAAGAAACAATCTTACGGTTTTTCCTCATTAAGTTATGCCGCATTTAAAAAAAAAAGTTTCTTATATCACGCTTGTTTCTTACAGCTAGCGACCATGTACAAGAAAGATGAAACAATCAAACGCCTTGTGGACGAATACGAGTGGAGAATACACCCGGTGGTCAACCCTGATGGATACGCGTACACCCATACTATCGTAAGTGTTGCCGTTCTATTCACTCGATTATTTTGGGGGGAGCTCGTGTCACTGGATACTTTCGAAAGTAGCTCCAAGCTTCCCGTATGGTCGCCATTTTGGTTCATGGAATGGGCATTTTCTCCTTTTTCTCTCCATTCTTGGTGAGTCGACCATTATAATTTGTCCTAAAAATAAACAAGTTTGTAAGACCAGACGAATTTCTTTTACTTCAAGTCCCGTGGAAATTCTGAATAATATTAAAACGCGCGGTGTGGTGTTTGTTTTCTCCTAATATGTCACGGGACAGTCATATTAATTAATTTATTTCAAACTTTCCGGTGTGTTGGTTTGACGCACCGGCGCAGCTCAAACTTTCCAGTTGCTGTTAAAATAGTGACTTATAATGCGTTATTTTCTCATTTAAGTTATTGCAGCCTTCTCTGGCGTGCAACCACGGAAACCAATTTTGGTAAAATTTGCCTTCTTCAGAAGAAACAAAAGTTTAGTGGTACTCATGCCTGCAGTGGTACTCACACTGAGACCATGTTCAATAATTTGAAAACAATAAAAATGTATAACTTACATGATCATAGACTATGCGTCACTATCAAAACCAAAAACAACAACAAATAAAACTCAAATTTTAACATAATTAGCTTCATTAGATCGAAATAATATAATTTACGTGACCGGCCAGAATTAATATTAAAAGGCTTTTAAATGCAAATAAAATTATGGACACCCAATTGTTAAGTATATAGTTCCCAACTTCATCAACAGGTGTATCGAGAGAAATATAAATCTTGAGTTACTTTCCGTTAAACAGCTCCGCACTTTTTTTTGAATGTTTGAACACATATTATGAATTTCATACTTAATTATTGTTCTTAGTTTCAATGCTGTCATAATCTGTTTTTGTGTGTATTGTGTACAACCTGCAGAAATATGATTTGTACCACTGCCGATGGGGCTCAGGTCTCGTCAAGTTTGGTGGTGAAGCTTTTGCCCTTCAGCTCCACCATTTCTTGAAAATTGGAAGCAAGCATAATCATAATCATCATTATTAATATTGTTGATATTGTTATTAGTAGCAGTAGTAGTAGGAGTATTACTGTTTTTTCTTAAATGCGGAGATTCTTTTATCCACACACCGGTGAAACAAGCGGGCATCTTCGCAACACCACCACATAAGCCGTCGGTGCTTGGCGGCATTGAAAAATAATTTACCTATTCTTATTTACGCAAGAACAACACTACTATTGCAAGAAATCTGTGGAGATAAGCATGACTGATAAGTGGATTGCATGCATAGTGCCAAATACGCTTATATTAGCGAGGAACGCTTGCAGTACCGAGATGGCGATTGCCATGGCAACAGCTGAGACAGGTCAGCCAGTCACCTTGCGAGGTTTGGTCTCGGGTATGTTCGTGTCTTTTTGTGTCCGGCCAGTAGGCAGCGAAGGTAATGGTGCGACTTTCCCAAAATCGAGTGACTTTAGGTGGCGCAAGGTACCGTCTGTTATAAAGGGCACAACGGATATCCATCCACCAACCCATGTTTGCTCAGCACAGATATGTACACGTTGCCAAAAAAAAGTAACTGAATTCTGTTACACGTTACTCGCTCAAAGTGTAACTTAAATATGTTACTTGTTACTGATTCTCAACGGTAACGAGTCACTTTACCTAAAAATGACGAGTTCCCTTTCTCATTACTTTGACGACCGCGTAAAAACCTTTCAGTAGTCGTTTCACTTAAGTCGCCTCTCCACGTTTTCATGAGTTAAGTTTCCCCGCTTCCTTGAGAATACATCTCAGGCGACTCTGAAGAGTCGTTCTACTGACGCGCCACAAGGAACGGCAATGTTGTGCTCTGGGAAGAGCTGGTGCATCTGTGATTCCCCTCTTTCTTGTTGTCTCTCCTTCTAATGCTCGAAGTTGACAATGGTTTCTGTGCCTTCCCGTGTTGGCAACCTCCGGGTTTACATTCGGTCTGTACGCGGTTCCAGAAGGTTCAACCAACGAGCCTATTGACTTCGCTCGGTGAAGGACGTTCCCAGCTGCAGAGTTCGACAGGCGTGCTCAGCGATAAATGTTGCTGCACTGCCATCCTGTTTAGTTATTTTCCAGGTTGCCCATTGGCCTTTGTCGCAATAGAGGCATACTCGGGTTATAATTAAAACGTGTCTGTTTAAATAATGGAGTCAACGAGTGTTCGCACCGGCGGGGAACGTGGGCTTGGGCATCGGGCACGTGGAGTTCAAGACGAAGGCTCTCCACGCATTTTACAGCGACATCCGCAATTGGCGAGGCTTTCCAGCAGATCCACGAATGCGTTTTGTGCAGGATCATTTTGGATCGTGACGTCATGCATCCCTTCAAGTGACGTCGTGGTGCCACGTGACGTCACGTGACATCATGGCGTTTAGCGAAGAAGTGTTCGCGCTAAATTGCGTGATTGCGTGTGTATAGTGGTCTGTCCTCAAGGATGGCGCCGCAGTTCATTCAAAGGACATTGTGAGGATTCGTGAACTCTTGTTAGGTAACATCATTGGAGACGTTTTGTAGGCCGTACGGTAGAGCTTGACGTCTCTAGCGAGAGCCTGTGTCGTCCCTTTGAAGCATTAACTCAGCACGCATCTACTGTGTGCTTGAAATCCGCAGCGTGCGGTATAATAAAATTCTCCACAAGGGTGTATTAGCATTGCCATAGCTTCCTCTATACTCACAAGGCCTGGCAGATCGCCACGAGACTCGGCCGCCGAAAGTGAAAAGCTAGAGCGGCTTACTATTGCCATGTAACGGGCACTCTGCTGCGGCGATACGTCGAATCACACTTGTCCCTAGCGATGGAATGTCCGCTCGTGCTTCTCACATTCCTCGGGCTACCGCTTCTTTTCTCGTCGGGTTTGAAAACCATGTTTTGTGTCCTCGCCGCTGCAAAAGCTGTGCGCTGAATACCAGACTCCTTGACAAATTCTCTCTGCTATTGCGCAGATCATCGTGCTTCAAATTTACGACCGGGCACTGCATGGCTAAGTCATCGAATTGCCAGGCTTTGAGAGTATAGAGGAGGCTACGGTATTGCTCATTCGAGCGAACGGAAGCACAACGCATTTTCGCTAGCGTTGCGTGTTCCAGACTGCGCGCGCTCGGAGCCCAAACAGCATCTGGTATTGGCGCATGGTGGCGACACGCATGCGCTGACACAACGCACAGAGTTTACGTTTGCTCCTATACGAAATACAAAACTCTAAATACTTGACCAAGAAACTTAAGGTATGATAATCTTTTGTTTGTATTCCCTGGTGGATTCAAAAGCGCAGGGCGTGGTGCGCCCGAGCATCTTCTTATATCCCCTTAGCCAATAAAGTCGCTGTACTGGATTAGAAGAACGCCCAAGAATGAATCGCCAAGGAAGAAACTTGAACGTTATGCGCCACCCCACGCCCGTATTTTTAATCGTTCACTTACTATTAGTGGTATTCGTGAACTGTGTGCCCCACACTCTAATAAAGGTTATCCCTACCCCAGAATACGAGACAACGAATCGCGGCGAACAGTACACGTATCATAAGGAATGGCGATGCTCAAAACACATGTAGAAAAAAAAAGTGTTATGTGCCCGCGGACAACCAGTAATTGCTCGTTCTCCTCCGACACATCGCATTCTTCAACTCTGATCATACTGTGAGCCCCGTAATTCGCTGGGATTCTTCTATAAATCGCTATGATTGGCAGCCTTTGTATTAAAAAGGGAAGACACAGTCTTGTTTTAGAGTGCATCCTGTCGTCTAGTGACGTCAGCTCTCCTCCTTGCACCCGTCGTCGCGAAGTGGCGGGGTTTTTTCGTGACTTTTAAAGCGTTTCTTGGGTAATGATTGGTATCAAATGATTATAATATTACAAATTATAAAAGGATATTTCCCCGAGAATAAAAGCCTTTTAACAGATATACGCACTTCGGTTTCTTTGTGACGAGTCTAAAGGATGGAATCTAAACTGCCGGGATAAGCCATGGCTGATCTGCCAATAACAAAGAACGAGAAATGGAACTATCGTCAAGACGACCCAGCAGGTAGAATAATATAGGGAAACTACAGTGCCATGTCGGAAATTTCATTGAGTCTCAGGTGAGACAACACCGAATGCGATGCTCGATCAACCCGTTTTCAAATAGCCTGTCCATCCGCCACCATGCATTCTAAGATATACGAAACGCTTACTGTCGCGCAATGTGCAACACTAAGCCTCAGCTTTCGAGCGCAATGCTTGGTGGCTGGCGACGCTGAAACCCGGCTTAGATATGCACAGAAGTCTACGCTGTGACGCAGATCTTGGCGTTCCGCGTTCGTTCGGCATTCAGAGCGCGGACAGACTTCCTTTTCTTTTTAGCTCTTCGTATTTTTTGTTTAAAAAGTGGCAAAGCTCTTGCCTTCGATTGTAGCGATTGGCTCTCCCTACTGCTTTAGGGGAAGGTAAACGTCAAAGAATTTTAGAGCCGCGGTCAGAGCGCAGCTAAAGCCGGAGTCCTTCTGCTCACACATCACACAAAAGACGATGCATACATGATGACAAAATTATCCGCGGACGCTGCTCAAGTGCATTCGAAGCATGTTTCCTTCGAATGCGTCTGCAGAGAGTATTGGTATGGCTAATATGACAGCACACTCAAAACAAAGAAGAAACTTGCAAGAGACAGTGTCTGCAGACCGGCTATAACGAAGTCGGTTATAACGAAGTTGGTTATAACGAAATAGCGGTTACAGCGAAGCGACCACGACTTCCCATTCTCTTTTTCACTTCTTTATAAACGATGTCGGTTATAACGAAATCGCAGATATATCGAAGGAATTTCCAAATCCCGTTGACATCGTTATAACCCGTCTCGCAGTATCAGCAGCGTGAGAGCGGCTTTAGAGTGATGGCTGTCTTTCGAACACTCTCTTCTACATGATGCCTTTTTGTCACTAACGTTTCAGGATCGGTTATGGAGAAAAACGCGGTCGGTAAGCAAGATCTCCGGGGGCTGTCGGGGGGCAGATGCTAACCGGAACTTCGACGTGGGTCCGTTTTGCGGTGAGTGTTGCTCGGGGAGCCATAATTTACGACGGCAAGAAGGTCGTCTCAGTGATATCTTCCTTTCCTTTTTTTGTTTCGTTCGACAAAGTAAAGAGGACCAAAACATTTCGAAACAACGGAGAGGAGCCAATGATCTTCCAGCGTCTTGAATACCCGAGGCTTTGAGAAAAAAGGGACCTATGTGTGGCGTTGTGGGCATTTCTATTCCTGCATGACTCTCGGCTTTTCAAGATGTTTCGAATTATGTACGTGCGCTATCCGCTTTATTGCAGCGACGAAATCGTAATTAGATCTTTGGAAGTGGGAACCACTGAAAGATGCTGCGAATAAATGAATATTTGTGCAGCCAGAGTCGAGAGCGCTTGAAAACAATTTGGGTCCGTAGAATTCTCATGCAACACGAACCGAGTTCAACTGCAATAAAAGACGATGTTCACGGGGTAATAACTGGTTTCATGGCACCTTTAATAACACTCGTCAGTGATTGAGGTATGCTTTTTTATTCAATGCACCCATATGTTTGTTTGTTTCTGTCTAAGAATGATAGTAAAATACTCCTGTATTACGGGCAGGAAAAATGCATTCAGAACAAACTTCTTCAAAAAATCAACGAACCAGAGCGCGTGGATGGGTGCTCTGGTTGGCTGATCTTTTGGGTAAGCAAGCGAAGGCGTGTTTACCTAAACCTCGCCCCCCCTCCCCCCCCCCCCCCCTCCCTTCTTTCTTCCCGTAAAACAGGCAATGTGACGTATATGAAAACTCGCCATTCATAGCACCGAAATCGCCCCATTGACTTACCCCACAAGCTTTTACGAATTGTGGCCTTGGATCAGGAAATCCGCTCAACCATAGCGACAACGCAAAATAAAAGTGATAAAAAAATGACCGCATCTCCACGTGGAGAATGGTGTTGATTGGGGCGAAGCTCTGGTGGTGCTGATGATACTGATTTTGGTCATAGGTAGTGCTGATGGTGCTGACCGCAGCGCCCTCTCGTCTATAAACGTTGAGCCAATGCATGCAAAGTTTAACGCAATTATATACGCATTTGACCGCAGTGCCCTGTCCTGTATAGACGTTGAACGGCTACGTGCAACGTTTCATTCATGACATCCCCAGCTCTTGAGTTACTACCACATCTCAGAGCCCCCTACTCGTCCCGCAGTCGTGGCCGAGTGGTTAAGGCGATGCGCTAGAAATTCATTGGGGTCTCCCCGCACAGGTTCGAATCCTGTCGACTGCGCGAACATTTTTTTCTGTTTTTAAGAAGACATGTGGGTCGGCGATCAATGTGAGCACGGACGCCGGCAAGACTAGACCCTAAGGAGCTTCGCCCCAAAGATACAAATAAATCTTTTCGTACAGGAGTCGGAACCAGCAACGACACGTGTTCGGAGATTTACTGCGGCGACAGTCCCTTCTCGGAGCCGGAAACCCGTGCCTTGAGGGATGCCGTGATGGCTGCTCAAGATCGCGTCTCGTTCTACTTCGGCCTGCACAGCTACAGCCTCTTGTGGATGTTTCCCTACTCGTACACGACCAAAAACGCCACCAACTACCAGGAGCTGGTGAGTGGATCCCAGGAGCTGGTGTCGGTAATGATAGGGTGCCGTTCTTTTCTTTTCTCTAAATGCCGATAAACCCCGAAAGTTAAGCCCCCAAACCTGGTTTATTCGATTTGGAGAAAACTAAAACCGATTTGGAGGTATTTTTCAATATACAAAACACTAGCTTCGTGGGAAAATTTTTTTTTTATCTGTAGCTCTACTTTTTGTTTACCAGAACAATGCCCACAACTAACTCCCCGTGAGGCCATCTTAGCGACGGAAGTCCATTGTACTGTTTCTTTTTTTTCTTTTTTTTTATCAGGGCCGAAATGTTTTTCCAATATTTGGGTTGCTCACACGAGGCTTGTAGGTTCGGGAATCTCGTCTCCATGTCCTATTTTCTTTAAAAAAAAAAAAAAAGCACCGATAAACCCAGATTTTTTTTTAATTTCACGACGTCAAAAGTTGGCACCGAAAAGCAACAAATCTACACCCACAAATTAGCAACAAAAAAAAAATCCCGTGAACACGAAATTTTAGTTATAAAGCATAGAAGGACTTTTAATGGTGTCGCCAAATACTAGAAATGTGCCGGTTCGTCCGTGCATGTCATCGCTAAATTTAACTGATAACATTCACGTTACTTGACGTGATGGAACCACGTAACGCCGCTACTTGACAAGAAGTCAATTTCCCCGCTAAATTGAGCTACGAAATAACGTCACGTGGTAGCACGGTATTACGTAACACCACGACTTGACACCATGACCTTACGTCGCAAGACGTAGTCGCGTGACGTAGCGTGACAGGACGCCGAGAGCATGGGTGTGTGCGGGAGCGTGATCACGTGGAGAAAAAAAGACCTATGACTGCTCCAACGGGCCCGTAGCTCCCACCGTACTGTTAGCTCAGAGGTGAGCGGTGTATAGTCCCATGTCGGTACCTCTTCTGGAGTGACTTCAATACGCCGCCTTGAAATGAAATTCTGCTTTGTTTCACTGATTATCTGAAGAAGAAGAAACTTCACACTCGCTAGAGTAATTAAAGCTGGCAGCTCACTGAACAGTTGTTAAGCTGGTACAGACTGTGCCCTCAACGTTTTGATTCTACAAAATAGTTGTCCAACTGAAGCATCCCGGAATATGTTTGAGGGAATGACATATGTCGAGGCCGTATTTATTAAATAAACAGCTTGATCTACTTGATAACAAAGCCTCATATGTCACATTTATTGTCTCTTCGACCCCTCTTAAGAAAGGAAACCGTCTCTTCAGCTTCCGCTTGGGCGTCACTGATTTCTTGAACGTTGTAACAAGATACACTGGCACGGGATAGTATCGCGATACACCAAATAGACCAAAAATGTATTGCGACACTGCAATGCAGGTAGTGAATAAAAAAATTGTCTCGCGATTCAGAAATATAACTATTAAATTATTCCTGAAATACTATCGCGATACATTTGTAGCGCGCAACTGCCCAACTCGAAGCTTGTTTTATTTACAACAGTAGCTCCCAAGTGGAAAGCGCGGAGCAATCAGCACGCATAAAACAGCACAGCATTTAGTAAGTATTACCCCGGTTGGCCGTTAGTACGACTACGGCCGCTTTGTGTGTTCGCAGCAGCAGCTTCGTTCGATGTTGGAGAAGGAGAAAGACGAGCACGCATTGACGTTGGTTACTTCGGCAGATGTTCAAAAGGAGGTTACAGACATATCAGCGAATAGCGAAAAGTGTGCTCCACGGCAAGCACACAGTCTTGAAGGGTAAGTCCAACTCGGCCAGCGCCGGCGCTGCCAGCTTTCCACAAAAGGGTAACTGATGGCGGCCTGCTTCTCTAGAAGAACGTTTCCCGAACTGAGTTTCTGATATCCATAGGGTGATGTGCTTTGTGCAGTTTGAAGCCTCAATAATACAACGAACCTAATTGCGTTGATTTGATTCTTTTTTTCTCTCTGTTTCAGCTTACTATTTCGGAGAGGGGTGCCGACGCCATCCGCAAAGTGTCGGGCACGAATTACACTGTCGGCCCAATTAACAAGATCATCTGTAAGTAAATTAAGTCGTCCTGATATAGAGCGTCATTTAATAAATCCCCCACAGCTTCAGCGTGTTTGCCTATTCCCTAACGATGGCATCATACGGAGGCATCGCCTTCTATGCTCGTTTCTACAACGTGAAAAAAACATTTTGGGCATTATTTTTGCGTTGCTACGCAGAGTGTTTTTCCGGAAAAAAAGGGGAGGGGGGGGGGGGAGATTTGCTTGTCGGAGTAAGAAACAATGTCTTTGTGGTTTGAAACGTGTGCGTCTTGATTAAATAACATGAAGCTAACCTAAGATGCAAATACATGTAGCTTAATTAATCATTCAGGGGAAATGAGTAATATTTCCTAAGAACGCGGACTCTTTTCCTGCGGTTATTGAGGTGCGTACGAGTATAGCTGCAATTGCCTCAGAGCACATGGATTGTGCCCTAGTGAACTGAGAGGAATTAGGGGACGCCCCTGGACTACGACGAAGGCCTTGCCGTGGGCAGGAATGGATTAGGGGTGATAGTGCTCGGATTGCAAAAGTGTGACACAAAACAAACTTACCGAGATAAAAAAAAAAAAACATTACCACAGTATGTCTCATGATGAAGCGATCCCGCAAAAGGTTTTTATTTTGGCAAGTCGCCCGACATTGAAGCAGCGAACAGAAGCTCATTGTGACAAGCAAAATGAGTTGATCGGCGGTAATACTGCGCAATACTGCTTTTTGTCTTGGGGAAAGCCTTTGCTGCGACATACTTTTTCTACCTAGACACTTTAAATTTATTTTTTGGTTTAATAAATTTTGAAAAGCCACCGTACGTCCTCAATTTCCTTCGGGCAGAAATTCTGCTTAGTCTCCCCCTCCGACAAATCGGAGACCCATAATAAAAGTATGGACGGTTGAAGGACAAAGCTTCAATGGAAAAAAAGGAGGCGGGTGAAAAATGTGAAAATAACCAAGCAAATATCAGAATTTAAATACTGTAGAGCGGTGCATTCATCGAAAAAGGCAAAGATGGGATATGATGCCCCCGGAAGAAACACGACAGCGTGCGAGACTGGACCTCATTACACTGACGGTTGAGAAACAAAACCAGAGAGAATATATAAACTCTCCACTTCGCCACATTCCCCAAGTACCAGTCAAGCAGCACGGCGATACTTGGCCAGTGTCGTGGCAATGCCGGCCAAAACCCGGCTCTAATATCGGCCGAAAGTGCGGTTTTGCACCACGTCCCGATATCCGGCAGGTATTGGCGTCCCACCGTGCTGCCACCGGTCTAGTATCGGCGGCATATTGTGCGAGTACTACCCATGTCGAACTGTCGGCCAGGCATCGGCCAGATATCGCGTAAGCATCTGCTCTATATTGGCCGGACATTGGCTCTGCGCTCGCCTTGTATCGGCAATATCGGCAGTATTGACTGCCACGTTAATTCCAGATATAGGGCACGCCTTGGGAGCATACATGGACAAACGAAATTGTTTGCGATATTTCACAGAAGTTAACTAAACCACTAAAATTTCACACAGCTCTTTCTTTATTAAAAAGAATTACACCTTTTTTTATGCCGAGCCAATAATAAATCAAACACGAATGGTCGGGGAGGTTACAGTGTTTTACTACATCGTTCGATGACTCCAAAAACGATTATACTAAGACTACATATTGAAACAAAATCAGCACTACTATTAGAAGCACGCTTGCAGTGCACTTACGAATAAGCAGCGATATGATATGTCAGTCGTGATAGATGCATAATCCGACTGGGGCAGCACAGAGCAACGCAGACACGAAGTGGAGAAACAAGAAGGTCTCCCACATTCAACGAAAGCTTCACTGTCGCCAAATGAGCAGTTCTTTCTCGAAGGGCGTCCAATAAACACAGCACGAGAATTCCACGCACTCCGGCGTAGAAAACGGCCATTACCAAAAAGTTGGCTTGGACGTATTCCAGGCGTTTTCGACAAAAAACCGCGGCCGAGTCTGCAACGCACAAACCAAAGAGAACACTGAAGAGCGCATTTCGGAAACCGGACCTATGTAACCCTTACACCGATCCCCATAACTTGGCAAGCGCCGCAGGCTAAGGTCCCAATGACTTCACCAGCGCGTCAGAGCAAGTCACACGACAAATTTCCATCCAAGCGATTTTGTTCTACGGAGAGCGGTCACATTTTTCGCGCCACGCCTCTAATTTGGTTGAAGCAGCTGTCCAGCTCGCTCAGAGCCACACGAAGACAGAGAATATCGTGGGGAGGCTTAACAAAAGGCGAGGTCAAAAGGGGTAGGTAGTGCAGGTAAGCTCCCTCTCGTTTCTTTGTCTGTCCTCCTTGGGATAAAAGTAAGCAAATTCTGTTTTGCTTATTTTTTTTATGTTTTAATTTGGTTCTGAGTTGGTCAAGAAATTCGAATACCTGGCCAGCAGGGCCGATTCACAAACGACACTCCCCACACTCAACGGGTATGGTATGTCAGGATGGCGTCGGCGATACCCTATCTGATACTTCACAGATTCGGCTGGATCAAAATGCTACTGGCACAATCTTTCCAACTTGACGCCAATATCGGCGCAATACTGTGTGCTGCCTGGGAACATTTTATTTCAAAGCGATATTCTATACGGCAACCCTGCATGAACCCCCTTGCTCGTGGTGATGTTAGTCGCACCGCACGATCGTTGCTCAACAGAAATGCAATAAAAAAAAATCGAGGTACACCTAAGCACTTCTTATGAGTTGTGAATGCGAAAGCATGTACGTTGTTCCGCCTCCCTTCTTTCGTCTGCGGCGTACGTGCGTCGAAGGTCGAGCGCGCACTCAGTCGTCGGCGCGCTGACCTTGGACGTAGAGCGGTCGAGCCGCTGCATCGCGTGCACGCAGCGCCATGCGGTGCCGGTCGTTGAAACTGACACGCAGCGGCCAATGGGAGGCTCGTCGACGCGCGCAAGCCAATGGCACCGAAGCCGAAATCTATCAGTTTTACTCCGCTCCTTTGGGATCGGGGAAACAATTGGCCTATTCGTCTGGGGCACACAGCACCCGTCCAGTGCAGTAAACTCTTTCCACTTTAATACACGAAAAGCTGGCGGGAAGAGAAGGACGCTTCCCTCTCCCCTCTAGCCTTCCGTGTACCACAAACTGCACTGCACCGGTGTGATGCGGGCCCAGACGAATCTGCCATATGTGTCGTTTGGCTAGGCTTTTCACGTGGTTTCATAGCTGGGAGCTGGTTTCACTTGGAGAAAGGAGTTAATGGTGCCGCTTGGCACGGCTTCAAAGCTAATGATGTCGGCTCGCTTCATGGGACAGTTAATGTTTTCGCATTAAAATACTTCCTCTATAACGCTCATGACAAACCTGCTAAGCCTAAAAAGTAATCAGTGGTTCTGCTTCCTCGCGATGTTCTTGGGGTTTTGGTGAAACCCTAAGTAAAATCCATGCATGAAGGGCAGACAATCGTCTCAAATCAACGAGTAAAGACTCGTTCACACCGTTACGTTTGAGTGCGATTTAATACATCATGATCACATGTGGTTGCCTACGACGATAGAACAGACGTGCACAAGAGCGCCATCTTTCAGGCAGCACCGAAACAACTATGATCTGTGTATCACTTGTCCTGTGTGCTTCTTCGTCTTTTTTTTCGTTTTTTTTTTTGCTATTTTTATTATGAATAGTCCGAAGGCTTTGCCGTGCTTGTGACATGTATGTACGTGCCTCTCTTAAAAAACGGTCCTTTACAACATTGCCATAATTATTTCAAATTCCTTGACAAGAGAAACACGCGTAAGAATGCGGACATGTGGTTATATTATTCTATATGTACCCAATAGACGGCTTCAGTGTGTTATCTCCGAATAAGCGGCCACAACCGAGACACGTTGTCCTTTCAGATCCAGTGACCGGTTCCAGCGTGGACTGGGCCTACGAGAAGGCGGGAGTGACGAAGAGCTTCGCTCTCGAGCTTGAGCCAGGAAGTACGTCGTCCGATTCCTCCAAGGGTTTCCTTCTTCCCCCCAAGTACATCCTCCCCACGGCCGAAGAAACCTGGGCAGGCATCCGCGCTGCCATTGGGTCCCCCTGAACAAGTCGTCATGGCGCACTGCACACACTTTCTAGAGTAGCTGACAATTTATTAATAAAAAAAAACGCACGGCGTGGTGGGCATTGAACATCTCGGTGTCGCTCCGCACTCAATGAGAGAGCCGCATTAACCGAGAAAAAGGTCGAAAAGCGAATCGCGAAACAAGAAGACTGAACATGAATAATCCAGAGCCGAGTTCATTTGCTCGAAGAACAAAAAGACACCCAATCAAGGCAAATCATAGAAGGATCTCAGCAAATAAAAAAGCTCAGAATATGATGAGACAAAAAAAAAGAATGCAATGTGCACAGTGGAAACGAGAATGACCTGTCACTCGCTCAATGTCCCTGGGCACATTGCATTTGTCAGTTCGAATTGTATTCGGAGCATCGTCATACACCGAGATCCTTCTATTTTTCGCCGCGATTGCCTTTTCTCGTGTTCTGCACAAAATGGAATTTGCAGACTAGTTTTTAGAGTGCATAGCTTAATGTGAAATCGGCGGTTCGCAAAGCAACCAGGAACGTCGGCGTCCGTCCAGAGTACCTCGACACTTGCTAGCTGCGCCTGTCGCAAGATGAACGAGCAATATAAACGAACATATCGGAATAAGTCTGAGGAGTTTGAAACAAAAAAACGAAAAAAAAACGGGTTTCTCTTATTGCGAAAATAAACTACGCATTGCCGTATGCTCAGTTTCCGCCTTTACGTATAGTGCTAGCCGCCCGGACCAAAGGCCGAAGTGTGAAAAGTTTGCCCGGTGTGATTTAAAAGTTGTCGGTCATCTTTCTATTTTTATTTCCTGTGACAAAATAAGCCACGTCTTCTGCAGCGCTCAACGTTCATTTTCATCTCGCTGATTTTTTTTTTTTTTTTTTTATTTTTTGATGACTTTATCACTCGCAAGAAAAAGTCGGCTTCTTTCCTCTTTTGCTTTTTTTTCGAGCCTGATTCGGAGCCGTCATGAGATCGCCATTCTCGAAGCCTCAAAAAGTCGATCTCGTGACGAAATAAACCGATCGTTCTTCCGGCAGTAGGGTTGTTCGCTTTTTTTCAGTCAGCAGTTCGTGAAAAAGGTAATTAGCGAGTTCCACGCAAAGCTTTTACTTTCGCTATTGTAAAACTCACTATTAGCGAGTTTTAAGCAAGTAAACAAAAACTTTGCGTACGCAAAAAAAAAAAAAAAATAGCGTACGCCATTTTTCTTCGTAGGACGTGCCCCCACAACGTACACCTCTCTCACTTGGACAGCGCCATAGGTTGGACAGTCCAAGGATGCACTCGTAGTGTCGAGCTTAGCCAGGCTCCGCTACCATTTCCCCTGTCGGTGTGTTTCGATTCGGAAATTATCTGGGCAGCTTCCTAAAAGGTGAACATGTAACGCTCTCCAATCTTAACGGAAGAAATCGCCCGGTATACAAATCTGTTTCCTTTTTGAGCCGTGAACAACGGTGTCTGGAATGCCTTTCCGACTGTACTGTTTCAAACGCACATATCTATGCGGTTCCTTTGGCCTTCACATCGTGACGTCACAGTTGTAGAACGCTGCGGTTTGCCGAGATTCTGGTTGTCGTGTCTTCTGTAGTAACTTCATCAACGGCCGGTCAATCTGCAGAAAATCCAACCCACACGCTTGGGAAGCCCCATGAGCGTACCAATCATCTTGCCCAATTCTTACTTCCCAAAATTATATAGTCACATTAGTTGCGGAACGATAAGAAGCTGCTTGGAACTCGTCAGCCCTCAGTTTCTCAAGCTGCCACTGCTTAAGCTTTTGCAATAAAATTACATTGAACGAGACCCAATGCCTTGAAAAGTTCTAACCAATCATCTGCTGACAAAAACAAGAATTGTCGAAATAAAACAAAGCAAAAAGATTCCGCCCTCTTATTCTTTTAATTCAATATTTATGTAATAAGACACTGATAACTGTTTCATACTTTCTAATCCCGTAGAGTTTATGTCGATTTCAAACTAGCTTAAGTATAAACAGAAACCAAAGTTTTATGCATCCTTTCGGGGGCACTGTGTCCGGTTTTCTCTCAGTAAGCCATGGCGACACCGCCACATCTTTGATCCGCGCCGCACCAGAGAACGCCATCCTCAGTCCCGTGGCCATCTGATCCGCGCGTCTCTGGGTCCCACCACCTGCCCCTGGAGATGACGTGGACGTGGCCCATGTCCGATCTATCGATGCCGCTGACGACCTGCTTGAAGGCGTGGCCTCTTTCCTTCAGGCCCTCGATTAATTCAGCGTCGACGTCGTCTTCCACCGTGAGTGGGTCACTGAAACGAAAAGAAGGGGGATTAATGTACGGAAGCGCGTTGGGAGGATAGGTACTTGTACGATTGGGCATAACATGTACCTTACATCCAGATTATTTAATCTGGCTCATTAGAGAATGACAGTAGGGTGCAATCTCAAGACGACACAATTTACACTTTTGGACCTGGGCACTACTTAGCATAGAATCCTATACAGGTCTATAAAAGAAACGTGTAAAAGGTAAATACCTTCCTTAACGAAAATAATCCACGGAGAGAGAAATACGAGGGACAAAAAGACAAACACAATTAGGTTTCCGTCATTCTTGTCCAGCCCACTTGCACCCTTTCATTTACTTGCATTTTAATAATAACCTTCTTTAATGACGAAAGTAATCCCTGGAGAAGGGGAACAAGAGGGACAAAGGACAAACATGGTGGCGGCTGATAAAACCCGTTTGCTCTACTGGCGTCTAACCCCTGGTTGGCTCAGTTGGTAGAGCGCTCCACTTGTAATGGAGAGGTCCCGGGTTCGATACCCGGACCAGGCGGATTTTTTCGGTCGCTCACCAGTCACCTAGCTGTGTTTGGAGTTAATGTTTGTCCTTTGTCTCTCTTGTTCCCCTTCTCCATGGATTACTTTCGTCATTCTTGTCCAGCTCGCTTGCACCTTCGCATTTAATTGCATTAGAATTATAACCTTCTTTAAATCGGCATTATCTCCTTCGGGCTACATTGTTAAGGCTTGCCTGGAGATAGTGCTCCCACACTAAAAAAAAAAAAAAAATTCTCGGCGTAAACTATTTTATGCTACGTCACCAAGGCTAGCGTAGCCTCCCCTCCACGGTACTCCAGCTTTGTCAATGCTTTACTTGGTTACAGCTTACGTCCAAACGCAGCCGATGCTACGATTTTACGGAAGCAATCAATCGGCGTGAAAAGAGCGAGTCACTGGGCCATTTTTACCATGTTGAATTAACCTGAGACATGGCAAAACATAGGACGGGCAGAAAATTGGCAGGACGACGTCTAAAAGTAGACAGGACGACGGAGGAGGGTCCGGCCTTCAGACGTTTTTCTGTCCCTTCTACGTTTTGATGGTTCTTTTCTACTGCATGCTTAGCTTAATTCGACGTGGTGAATATTCACGAGCTCGCCCTAACCCTTACTGTATTTTCTCCGGGCCTTTGACGTTTAGGATTGGTTCAACGAAGATCGAACACGTATAGAAACATGACAAACACAATGATGGTGAGGTTTTAACGCTCTCTGATTGATTTCCTCTGCTCGTAGCGTCGATTACGCCAGGACTTAAAGGGACACTGACAGGGTACGTATGGTCGTCGAGATTTTTAGTTGTACATGGCATATGAGAGCCCAACTACCCAGAATACAATTGGTGGCTCGAAATTCGGTTTCTTTACGCTCCAATACCGCCAATCGAAAACTCGCCGGTTTGAGTCACGCTCACTTTCTCTTCTGTGGTCACGAGCCGTTTTCTAAGGTTTAGACACGACCACCAAATTTTATCAAAGTCGTGGGTCATTGAAGGCACACGCTCAATATCGAAAATAGAAAGAAAGATGAAACACATTTTTCGTGGCTATTAAAATCTGCAAATGCGTTGATTGAAAAAAAAAAAAGAGTTGCACAGAAAACCGGAAGCACTCTGTGCGTTCACTGAGTAATTCTCTACATGGCGTCGCATCGCGTAATGTGAGACTCGCGTGCTGGGCAGGGATGGAACTTGGCAAAGCAGCTTTGGAGCGGTCTTGGGAGAAGAAAAAAACTATTGCTTGGAGTTGGCTGGGAACAGCAAAAACGAGGCCCTGGAGGAAGTTGGGAGCAGCATACGAGTTTTAAGTACGTTCAAATAGAGGCTAAATGTCACCTGGTTCTCAAAACTCAAGGAACTATGGCATTCAGATAACTTCATATTAACTTAACGGCAGTTTCAATTAACATTTTGTTTAAAACACTTTTCACAAAATTACGTGGAAATTACACAAAACATGTTAAGCAAAACTCTACGACAGTGTCACGCGTGATGGAACTGACTTCCAAAGAGGTAAATATCAACAAACAGAAACAGCTTCCAGCTCGTACCTTGCTCCGTCATAGGCCTCACCGCTCGCTCACCTTCGTTATACTTCCAAGTTTTCTGCGCGGGGCCGCGGGGTGGGCCAGCAGGGGCTGCGAGCTCGCAATACACCTTTCCATAAAAGCGTATTGGTGCGCGTTCATGGCTGTGTTTGTGTGTTGTGTACGCACAGTTTCTGACTGGCCGCAATTGCGAGCGAGCGCTGGTTGGACTGTGAGTTTGCACGTGTGGACTGTGATTTTTGTAAACAGTGGAAACGTCTATAGTCACGCAAGTACAGCCAAGGGGGAGGCGCACATAAACACATTTTTAATTTATCTCAATACGGTGGTGCTGTTTGCTCCTCTCTTCACATGAAGTGACTCCAGGATTCCAGAAAAGCACACAGCAATGGCAATCATACTTTGCCTCAACTAATTATGCCCAGACGCAGCCGATGCTACAAGCGCCAGCATAGCCTTGAACAGTGCTTGCACTGCACGAGCGCGCGTTCTTGGCAGGGACGCTTAAAGTCCCGTGCTCGCTCTTGTAGCATCACTTAGACGAGGCAGAGGGACAGCGAATGGCTTCAAAGTCGTCTGGCAGCAGAATCATCTCAATGAGGGATGCTGTAACAACTTGTTATAAGCTGAAACCAAGGGTACTAGATTAGCTCAGTTACGGAACTGCTCATAGACGCTGCATGCACGAGCAGTAACCCCCTCACTCACCACGACTCGCCTGCCGTCGCTCGACGCGCCGGACGGCTGCTTTGGTAACTGCAGTGTATTATTCTATGGGATACGTGCGATTCGAAGCACGGCGTCTAGATGGAATTTCAGCTCTGCTTTATGGAACGCACACTTATGAAACGAAAATCTTGATGGCACTTCGAACGACGGCAGGCGGATTGAAGTGGGTGAGGGGGGTACCCTTTCCCGCGGGAGTTCCACAACTGAGGTAATCTAGTAAGGTAACGTTGGCTGAAACAAAGTAATAACCATGGCAGCGACATTTGGATACAGAGCTTCGGATTCGAATCCACCAGCCAACGTTACTAAACAACTCAGTTGGGAAACTGCCATAGAGACTGCTCTCAAAAAGTGGTCCCGATCTGTCCTCGAGAACCGAGCTAATGGCGAACACAACGCCGCCATACCTCCCGCAGCGGCCACTCTATTTTGGCTTTTATCGACCATTTCGGCGCCAAAACAGATACGGTGAAGAAGGTTACAGAGGTGCCCACCTCAATCTCCCCAGCGGACGCGCCGCGTTTTACTACCGAAGTTAAAATCAGCCTAGGTCGGGACGCGCTACCTGAAAGCACCGCTGAGGCATGGTTGTATAAAATAATATTAATTGTGCCGTAAAACCTTGCAAACTAAAGATTTTAAAAAACATCACGCGCCCATCATTTTGTACTAAACTCCAATAAATTTTATACAAAAAGAGTCTTTTCCGTTTGTTTTTACGCAAAAAACATGCTTTGTAAAAGCTCGAGGTGACCACAGTACAGACAAATGATAAAAAGTGGCGCTGTTGTCGTATTTAGCTCGGTCTCGGTGGGCGCCAGCGACCCAAGTTTCGACGGCGAGTTTCCGAACTGAGTGTTTTAGTAAAACTTTGGCTGGTGGCAACGTTACTAAAACAATCAGTTGCCAACGTTACTAAAACACTCAGTTGGGAAACTCGACGTCGAAACTTGGCTCGCTGGCGTCCACCGAGACCGAGCTAAATACGACAACAGCGCCGCTCTTTATCATTTGTCTGTACTGTGGTCACTTTGAGCTTTTAGAAAGCATGTTTTTGCGTAAAAACAAACGGAAAAGACTCTTTTTGTATAAAATGTATTGGAGTTTAGTACAAAATGATGGGCGCGTGATGTTTTTAAAATCTTTAGTTTGTACGGTTTGCGGCACAATTAATATTGTTTTATACAACCATGCCTCAGCGGTGCTCTCAGGTAGCGCGTCCCGACCAAGGTGCATTCTAACTTCGGTAGTAAGTCGCGGCGCGTCCGCTGGGGAGAGGGGGATGGTACCCGTGTAACCTCTTCCGCTGTATCTGTTTCGGCGCCAGAATGGCCGAATAAAGTCAAAATAGAAGTCACGTGCAGTTCCTCGAGTGGCCGCTGCGGGAGTAAGGCGGCGTTGTGTTCGCCATTAGCTCGGTTCTCGAGGACAGATCGGGGCCACCTTTTCGGAGCAGTCTCTATGGCAGTTTCCCAACGGAGTGTTTTAGTAATGTTGCCACCAGCGCTCCTTTGGGCCGGAAGTTTCGATGTCGAAGTTGTCAACAAAAACTGCGAGCCGGCTACTTTCGACCAGGCTGGTTTATAATTTCAGTTTGGGCGCACCTTGGCGCAATTTCGTTCTAATTTATTATTTTGTATCAGTGTGGCGCACGAAACGTCATTAGGCGCACAATAGCGCAATTGGAGCAGCAGTTCCATCCCTGCAAATCAATTGCACGGCCAACAGTACCCGCAACGCTGCAATGTCGTCTGCTGCGTGCAAAAAAACAACAAAAAAAAAAAACAGAGGAGGAGAAAAAGCGTGTTTGGGGGTAGCCTCATGTACTTTACTAGGGGAAATACATTCCACTCCGCTCATTTTTTATTTTTTATTTAATGGCTATTATAAATAGCCATTTGCATTAAACAGAACGCCTACAGCGCCGAATCCAACCCTGACGGAGGGGAGGTCCGCGTCAGTCCACGCGCATGTGCACGTGGATGTTCGCGGCGGCCGCGGCGGTGTCGTTTCCGATTCCACCTAAAGCCCCTTCATGTTTCAAAAGTAGCGCAAGCTGCGTTGATGCACGAGGCACGTGCAACGCGCAATGTGCAACCCTTGGGAACGTGCAACCCAGCAAAGTATTTGGCTACCTCTAGAACACTGTAATTTGGCGGAGCACAGAGCTAGATTTTAGACGCCATGTT